TTGATTGTTTTATTTGCTCGGATACAAAAGGTCCCATTATACATGAAAAATGCCGAGACAAGTGAAGCAGGACGTTTACTGTAGTAACACAATTACCCACCAATAGAGAGAACACATCCATGGCCTAGTAGGGTTCTCAATTGGCCTGCAGACAAATAGATTTAGTGATGTTTCTATATAACCAAATCAATTTCACCAAGTGTTTCGATAATGTTTGAAGCCATAATAAAAGACAGGATAATGTTTTTATCATAAATCAAATACCATGGAAATACATCAGTAATATTGATAGATTTTCGCTTTGAACATTAGATAGATTTCAGCTTTGAATATTAGATAGATTTCAGCTTTGCATATTAGATAGATTTTTGCTTTGAACATTAGATAGATTTCAGCTTTGAACATTAGATAGATTTCAGCTTTGAATATTAAGATAGATTTCAGCTTTGAACATTAGATAGATTTCAGCTTTGAACATTAGAAAGTACAGCTATATCCACAATAGGCACAGGTCACAATGCTAGTAACTCCAGTCTCGTGTGTCACTGCGATATTAGACAATTCCTGTAAAACTACCGTATTCATACTAAGATGGGACAAATTCTTCTTGAAAGATATTGAAAAGTTAGATGCAATGACTGTCATTAGATAATTATCCTTAAAAGTCAGGAAATACAAGATTTACAGTACTGTCTATTTGGTTCCAAATATTAAAAGTTTGAGATTTTATAGGAATATTTCTCAAAGTGCATTTGGACTTGTCATTATAATTAGAAATCTGAAATAGGTTGTTTTTTTCTGAAAATCCGATATTGATTAACAAATGATCAATCATTCAAAACTAGTAGCTTGGAGTTGCAGGGGTTTAAGCCTGGCTAATGTTAATACCCGTGCCTAGGGTCTGGAATGTTTGTACAGGTCATAGTGACACACACTGTTGACATTTCTCTAATCTGACTCAATAACAGTTCTTCACAAATATTGTTTGATACAGCCTTTTAAACCAGTTATTGTAAATATACAATTCATAAATTCACCACCACAAAAATAACTTTAAATGTTTAATAATAAATTCTTTTAACTTATTAACAACTTGGATAATGCAGTTTCTGCATTAAAAAAACCCATCAAATCAAAAGAATATGTAAACCTAGATATCTTGCAATGCTTCATACTAATTACCAAAACATGGCTAACACATCCCCTAAAGTGGTAAATTGAGCAAAATATGTCTTATATTTTCATAATCCTTCAAAATCCAACTGCAGTTCCTGTGGAAAAGGCTTATCAAAAGCATAAAAAAACTTTTAGCAAAACAACAGATTCTTTTAAAAATCTTTTCCATAATTCTAATCTGATCAATACACTAATGAAAACACAACAAGAACACTCATGTTTTAGAAAACAGCTTCTACATGTATGGTTACTATGGAAACGAAAATTTTGAAAAGAGATTGATTTCGAAAAATATTGTAACTGAATTCACAAGGTGGTCACAGACAAGAGAACGGACAGCTTCGATGGAGGCAGTAACTCACGAAGTCTAAGACACATGATGGCAAGGTTTTCAATTATGCAAGGGTATAGCTATTAAACTACCGAGTAGTACCAAATAACTTTCATGGCAGTTACAAAAAAATGCTCCTAAATTACCATGATATATGACTGCTTCTAAAAGGCACCACACCTGCAATAGCAGGCAGGCTCTCCCAACGTCTAAATACAGAGTTAAACCTGCCTTGTGTTCTACAGAAACTCAAATGTCAATTAGTTTTCTTTATAAACAAGCTAAACGACAGGATTTGAGAGGCTGCCAATTTTACATCTCCCTCTTAGAACACACAGTGGAGAAAATCTTCAAGCAACATGCCATCATGAGGAATACAATTTTGATAAATTTCTAAGATAAAGTTGCTTGCAATAGTTCCAGTCTTCATCCCTCCAACCACTGTGTAGCTGAAGACAAGGAGCCTCACAATGTTAACATAACCAATCTCTCCGACACATTTCACTGGATTCTGTACATTCTCCAGGGAGGAGAAGTCGTGTTAATATATGTATTGTATAATACTCCGAGATCTCCTTTTATTCTTGATTATAATATATTCCTGTACACGATTTTTCCATTATTTGTGTTAGACTCAGTAATATGGAGCTCTGTGGTAATCAGATGACAACAGGTGCTTGTGGAAAGTTAACCACTACAAACATTTCTTTGAAGGTCCAAAGATACCAAGGTCCAAATTACCACACATGGTTTCTGATACAGATATCAAGGTCCAAATCACCACACATGGGTTTCAGCGACAGAAACCAAGGTTGTAATTACCACACATGGGTTTCAGAGACAGATATCAAGGTCTAAATCACTACATATGGGTTTCAGAGACAGATACCAAGGTCCAAATCACCACATATGGATTTCAGAGACAAGATACCAAGGTCCAAATCACCAAACATGGGTTTCAGAGACAAGATACTAAGGTCCAAATCACCACACATGGGTTTCAGAGACAGATATCAAGGTCTAAATCGCCACACATGGGTTTCAGAGGCTGATATCAAGGTCTAAATCCCCACACATGGGTTTCAGAGCCAAGATACCCAGGTCAAATTATCACTTATGGGTTTCAGAGACAAGAACCCAAGGTCAAATCACCACACAGCGGTTTCAAAAACAAGATACTAAGGTCAAATCACCGCACATGGGTTTCGGAAACAAGATACCAAGGTCATATCATCGCACATGGGTTTCAGAGACAGCTATCAAGGTCTAAATCACCGCACATGGGTTTCAGAGACTGATTTCAAGGTCTAAATCACCACACAAGGGTTTCAGAGACAAGATAACAAGGTCTCAATCACCACACATGGGGTTCAGAGACAAGATACCAAGATCAAATCACCACACATGGGTATCAGAAACAAGATACCAAGGCCAAATCTTAGCACATAGGCTTCAGAGACTGATATCAAGTTCTAAATCACCTCACATGGGGTTCAGAGACAAGATACCAAGGTCCAAATCACCAAACATGGGTTTCAGAGACAAGATCCCAAGGTCAAATCACCACACAGCGGTTTCAAAAACAAGATACTAAGGTCAAATCACCGCACATGGGTATCAGAAACAAGATACCAAGGCCAAATCTTAGCACATAGGCTTCAGAGACTGATATCAAGTTCTAAATCACCTCACATGGGTTTCAGAGACAGCTATCAAGGTCTAAATCACCTCACATGGGTTTCTGAGACAAGAAACAGAGGTCAAATCACCACACACCGCCCCCAAAAACAAGACACCCACGCCACATCACCACACATGGGTTTCTGAGACAAGACACTGAGGTCAAATCACCACACATAGGTTTCAAAAACAAGATACTAAGGTCAAATCACCGCACATGGGTTTCAGAGACAGATACCAAGGTCCAAATCACCACACATGGGTTTAAGAGACAGATATCAAGGTCTAAATCGCCACACATGGGTTTCAGAGCCAAGATACCCAGGTCAAATTATCACTTATGGGTTTCAGAGACAAGACACCGAGGTCACATCACCACACATGGGATTCAGAGACAGATATCAAGGTCTAAAGCACCACACATGGGTTTCAGACACGGATATCAAGGTCTAAATCGCCACACATGGGTTTCTGAGACAAGACACTGAGGTCAAACCACCACACATGGGTTTCAGACACGGATATCAAGGTCTAAATCGCCACACATGGGTTTCAGAGGCTGATATCAAGGTCTAAATCCCCACACATGGGTTTCAGAGCCAAGATACCCAGGTCAAATTATCACTTATGGGTTTCAGAGACAAGAACCCAAGGTCAAATCACCACACATAGGTTTCAAAAACAAGATACTAAGGTCAAATTATCACACATGGGTTTCAGAGACAAGATACCAAGGTCAAATCACCGCACATGGGTATCAGAAACAAGATACCAAGGTCAAATCACCGTACAGAAACAAGATACCAAGGTCAAATCACCACACATGGGTTTCAGAAACAAGATACCAAGGTCAAATCACCACACATCGGTTTCAAAAACAAGATACTAAGGTCAAATCACCGCACATGGGTATCAGAAACAAGATACCAAGGTCAAATCACCACACATGGGTTTCAGAGACAAGATACCAAGGTCAAATCACCACATATGGGTTTCAGAGACAAGATACCAAGGTCAAATCACCGCACATGGATTTCAGAGACAAGATACCAAGATCAAATCACCACACATGGGTTTCAGAAACAAGCTACCAAGGTCAAATCACCACACATGGGTTTCAAAAACAAGATGCTAAGGTCAAATCACCGCACATGGGTATCAGAAACAAGACACCAAGGTCAAATCACCACACATGGGTTTCAGAAACAAGCTACCAAGGTCAAATCACCACACATGGGTTTCAGAAACAAGATACCAAGGTCAAATCACCGCACATGGGTATCAGAAACAAGACACCAAGGTCAAATCACCACACATGGGTTTCAGAGACAAGATACCAAGGTCAAATCACCACATATGGGTTTCAGAGACAAGATACCAAGGTCAAATCACCACATATTGGTTTCAGAGACAGATATCAAGGTCAAATCACCACATATTGGTTTCAGAGACAGATATCAAGGTCAAATTATCACACATGGGTTTCAGAGACTGATATCAAGGTTCTAATAGGAAGCTCTTTAATTAAAAGGTAAACCTGTTTGCAGTGGAATGAAAGCAACTCTACAATATACAATAAGGGACCTTGCCTGTAATTTGTAAGAAAAAGTTGTTGGAACTTGAAAGCAATTATGTTAATGCATATTGCTTGGTTAAAACACTGAATGTGTTTTTTTGTGAGTGTAATGAATTTGTTTCTTTGTATTTTCTTTTTTTAAGTGATCAATCAGCATTTAAAACTCTGTTTAAGAGGAAAACAACTGAAGTGCCTTTGAGAATAGAGTTGAATATTTACCCCAATTTGGGTACCTACCTTGTACTCCTCCTTTGTCAATGAATCCGCCCAGATTGAATGTACAGTTGTTTGAGGCCAGGTACTGTGTAAACCTCTGTCAATAAATTACATAGAAACCTGCATAAATATTGTTCATGGTGCTAATCATGTGGCTGATATTAGCACATGTTACTGCCATAGCTTATAATATTACAGGAAAAAGACAACGGATTTCAAACATCAAATCTCAATATCAACAAGTGGGGAATCAATATTAAAATCTGACATGACAAATTCATTTGAAAACTATAAAAAGAGCAACAAGTATTTGACTAAGATTACAATCCAATTAGCTTATCAAATATGTGATGCATACATATCTTACATTAAATTTTAAAGGAAGCACTAATCCAATTTCACAACAAAGCCAAGTAATTAACCCATCACAAGACAAATAAATGAATACCAATTTTACCAGGTGACTTACTACATATGAAAGTCTATAAAATGTTCATGAAAACTCAATTAACAATTAGGCTGCAATAGGAATTTGTCTGATGCTTTATCGCATTCACCCCTACGTATTTAAACTGGACTTGCCAATTCTTTGATTTGGTAAGGTTCAAATGTGACTTTAGGGGTGAATGGGTTTAATTAACTAATGACAAGGATGAGAATTGGTGAAGTGAACAATAAGAGGTATATGTGTATAAAGATTTTGTGTATAAAATGTCTATTAGATATCTCAATTGTTGATAACCTCATGAATCAATGTGAATGATTTACAGTATAGTGTCACCATGACAAAACTAATATATTCAGAACTAAAAGGTCAATTCTATCGTATATTGACCTTGTAATTCACAATGCTGAAAGACATTTCAATGTCAGTAATTGCAAAATTTAATTCTGTTCATTACAAGGGCAAAGACTTCTGGACATTGCATTACCCTAGCCTTCAGTCATACAAATGATGAACGGTTTGGGTTGAACTTGTTTATGATAGGGATAATGGTTGTACACCACATTTAAAATGTTTTATCACATAAATACATGTTTGGTTCATTTACCAAACAGCTGATACTATGGGAGATGTATGGCAGGAACTGCATCCCCTGTATCACCAGTAGCTGGCAGAAACAACCTTTCTAAGCTATTGCAAAGTAATTACCAAAGAGTACAATGTTCGGCTAGATAGGGCGAACCCTGGAGGTAATATAACTGATTACAGAATGATAGAAAGCATTTCTTTGCCAAGGTCACACAGAAAGGATACACTTACACTCCTTTCTATAACGGACTTAAAGAGATTTTATCCTGAGTATTTGATAAGTTACCTTTAATAGATCTAAACGTTAGGAACAATTGTAAAATTGTTAAATAAAAGATTTGGTAAATAAATTTCAACATAGCATGTCAGAAATCTATTTCTTTCCCTCTCTCCTTGCTGACTATGAGTCTATGGTATGTACAACATGACTTTATCTAGGGCTAGCTTCCCTAACATAAGGTTTTGATATATGGTATGTACATTATGACTTTATCTAGGGCTAGCTTCCCTAACATAAGGATTTGATATATGGTATGTACATCAACATGACTATATTTAGAGCTAGCTTCCCTAACATAGCGATTTGTTTTATATGTCAGTTTCCTAGTTTTCATCAAAGGAATTTCCATTCTGACCTAGAATATCATTCTATAATTTTTAAGATGCTGAATTAGCGAAAATTACTCGACGCCTTCTGTACACTGCCATTGGGCAAGTTGAAGTACTAGTGTTGACCTTCACTTTCATGTGTACTAGCTAGATTTCATGTATGGCAGATTGATTTGGGTTCATAAAATCTGCCCTAATTTCATGCCTATTCAATAAAACTATGTACCAAATCTAGGTCAATTTTTAGTCACAGAACAACAAACTCTGTTACAAGTCACATGTCCAAAATCTAGGTCAGGTTGATCAGAATCCAATATTGAGTAACATAAATTCATAATATATGTTACAATTCTAGGTCAGTCTGATCAAGGGTGATAGTCAAATATCCCAAATCTAGGTCAGTTTGACCAAGGGTCAATGGTAAAATATCCCTAATCTAGATCAGTTAAATCAAGGCTGACATGTCAAATATACAAAATCTATGTCAATTTGATCAGTAGCCAAATGTCAAATATTAAGGTAGTCTGCTGAAGATCAAATGTCAAATATTCAAAATCTAGGTCAGTTTAATGAAGGGTCACATGTCAATTATTGATCTATCCCAGTTTCATCAGGGGTCACATGTAAAGTACACCTCATCTAGGTTTTGTGACACATACTAAATCTAGGTCAGTGGATCAAATGTTTTGTAACACATACTTAATTTGGTCAGTGGATCAAAGATTTTGTGACGTACTTAATCTAGGTCAGTGGATCAAATGTCTCTTGACATATGTAATTAATTTAGGTCAGTGGATCAAAGGTCCCTTTACATATGTACTTAATTTAGGTCAGTGGATCAAAGGTCCCTTTACATATGTAATTAATTTAGGTCAGTGGATTAAAGGTCTCTTGACATGTGTACTAAATCTAGGTCAGTTGATCAAAGGATTCTTGACATGTGTATTAAATCTAGGTCAGTGGATCAAAGGGTTTGTGACATACTAAATTTAGGTCAGTGGATCAAGGTCAACAACACGGTCACAAGGTCAACAATTTTTTTTTTTTAATTCCAAGCAGAAAAACATATTTTATTGAAAAAAAATTGAAGGGAGTGTTCACAGTTACATAACATATGTAAAAAGAAACATGACTTACCTCATTGCCATAGTTCATGAGATTGTGAATTGTGATGAGAGATTTGAAGACTACTACCCAGTTCTGATGCTGTGTTCTCTCTATCAATAAATCTGCTAGCTGGGGTATTGACACATTCGGTTCATTTGTGCATTGTAATAAATCTGAAAAGAGATCAAATCATCAGATTTAAATAGATTTCACCAAACAATTCATGCAGCAAATGTATCTTTTTATAATATGATGTTTATTTTTAAGGAAAATTTATTAGCAGGAAGTTATGAAATGGGGCAGTTAAATCAAAGTTTAATTTTTTCCCCAGAAATGATATAAAGTTATGTTTCAATAAACATCTACATGGTTCTACGTTTTCCATTTCACAGTTTTAATCATCATATCTAAACAAAATACTTTGAACTGGAACCAAAGCTGCAGGGTAATTAATACCCCATCCATACACCTCATTATGACAGTTTGGAATACAATTCATAATGGAAAACAAATAACACAATTAACTAGTACCTTGTATATCAATTAAGAGTACACAATTTTTTAATGAAATTGAAGAAGTACTTTAGAAGAAACCACGATGTTAGTTTAAGATCTAGCTGTCCACACAATTTTTATACATGACCATAATCCCTTCAACTTTAAATGTACAACTGCATGAAATACTATTTATGTGCACAAAACTTCAGTGATTCAATCTGATTGGTTACAAACTAGTACTCATCATGATTTTTTTTCTTTTAAAAGATCAATCATTATCATTTTTTTTACTATAAACACCAGAAAAAATATAAGGTATGATAGATAATAAGCATATTAGGAAAATTTCACTTTTTAGGAAATTGTCTTATATATAATTTCTTTAATTTTGAAATTATGCGGCACTGATTCCTATTCTAGGCACACATGTATATGGAAATTTGTAAACATAGCATTTAAAAGTTTGCAATCAACAGAAAGACTAACTTTATCTGAAAAACCTCTAAAAAAACTGTTATCACACTCTTCCCATTTATTCCTAACAAAATTCTGAATTTTCTGCATTCAAGCTATTTCAGGATATTGAGGTTTAACAATTTCCAACCGGTCAGATGAAAGGCCAAAGTTATATCAATTCATGAGCAATAAGTGTACACCATGAATAGGCATTCATAAAGAAGGTTGAAACAACTTGTACAGCTATGGGACACGGCTATCCTAATAAATGTCCGCAGCATATTGCCCAATGTTTGTTGCTACGGGACATGGCCATCCTAATAAATGACAGCAGCGTATTGCCCAATGTTTGTTGCTACGGGACACACCCATCCTAATAAATGTCAGCAGTGTATTGCCCAATGTTTGTAGCTACAGGACACAGCCATCCTAAAAAATGTCAGCAGTGTATTGCCCAATGTTTGTAGCTACAGGACACGGCCATCCTAATAAATGTCAGCAGTGTATTGCCCAATGTTTGTTGCTACGGGACACGGCCATCCTAATAAATGTCAGCAGCGTACTGCCCAATGTTTGTTGCTACGGGACACGGCCATCCTAATAAATGTCAGCAGCCTAATGCCCAATGTTTGTTGCTACAGGACACGGCCATTCTAATAAATGTCAGCAGTGTATTGCCCAATGTTTGTTGCTACGGGACCCAGCCATCCTAATAAATGTCAGCAGTGTATTGCCCAATGTTTGTAGCTACAGGACACGGCCATTCTAATAAATGTCAGCAGTGTATTGCCCAATGTTTGTAGCTACAGGACATGGCCATTCTAATAAATGTCAGCAGCATATTGCCCAATGTTTGTTGCTACTGGACATGGCCATCCTAATAAATGTCAGCAGTGTATTGCCCAATGTTTGTTGCTACAGGACACCGCCATCCTAATAAATGTCAGCAGTATATTGCCCAATGTTTGTTGCTACGGGACACGGCTATCCTAATAAATGTCTGCAGCATATTGCCCAATGTTTGTTGCTACGGGACACGGCCATCCTAATAAATGTCAGCAGCATATTGCCCAATGTTTGTTGCTACAGGACACCGCCATCCTAATAAATGTCAGCAGTGTATTGCCCAATGTTCGTTGCTACGGGACACGGCCATCCTAATAAATGTCCGGAGCATATTGCCCAATGTTTGTTGCTACGGGACACGGCCATCCTAATAAATGTCAGCAGCATATTGCCCAAAGTTTGTTGCTACGGGACACGGCCATCCTAATATATATGAGCAGCATATTGCCCAATGTTTGTTGCTACGGGACACGGCCATCCTAATAAATGTCAGCAGCATATTGCCCAATGTTTTTGCTACAGGACACGGCCATCCTAATATAAATGTCAGCAGCATATTGCCCAATGTATGTTGCTACGGGACACGGCCATCCTAATCAATGTCAGCCGCATATTGCCCAATGTTTGTTGCTACGGGACACAGCCATCCTAATAAATGTCAGCAGCGTATTGCCCAATGTATGTTGCTACGGGACACACCCATCCTAATAAATGACAGCAGCATATTGCCCAATGTTTGTTGCTACGGGACACGGCTATCCTAATAAATGTCTGCAGCATATTGCCCAATGTTTGTTGCTACGGTACACGGCCATCCTAATAAATGTCAGCAGCATATTGCCCAAAGTTTGTTGCTACGGGACACGGCCATCCTAATCAATGTCAGCCGCATATTGCCCAATGTTTGTTGCTACGGGACATGGCCATGCTAATAAATGTCAGCAGCGTATTGCCCAATGAATGTTGCTACGGGACACACCCATCCTAATAAATGACAGCAGCATATTGCCCAATGTTTGTTGCTACGGGACACGCCCATCCTGATAAATGTCAGCAGCGTATTGCCCAATGTTTGTTGCTACGGGACAAGGCCATCCTAATAAATGACAGCAGCGTATTGCCCAATGTTTGTTGCTACGGGACACGGCCATCCTAATAAATGTCAGCAGCGTATTGCCCAATGTTTGTTGCTACAGGACACGGCCACCCTAATAAATGTCAGCAGCGTATTGCCCAATGTTTGTTGCTACCTGACCTGTGACTTTTCCCTATAAGCATATGCTACCTCAAATTGGTGGCACTTTACTGACTACTGTTCACCATTAATACCAGCTTTCCGGCCACAAATGAGCACTTGACAGTTCTATCAATAAAATATTCCAGCTCAGGGAGAAACCAAGTAATCAAATTTGCCAAGTCCCAGTATTGATCATTTGGGATACTACATACATATATATGTACACCCCACACAAGGCTGCCACCAAACGTGCCACTCCAAGTCAATACCATTCACTAATACACATTCAGACCACTTGTCTAAGCAATGGATGCCGCACCATGACAAGAGGCATTCAATACAGGCTATGGTCACAACAGATATTGACTGCACCAATACTAGCCATTGATCCCTAAATTAGATACACATGTTGTCGTACAAATCTCTCGTACAGCTCATAGAGAGTGGTAGAACATATGACAATCAGGTGGAAGGTCACACAGTAGACTCATGAGGTCAGGTCACACGGGGACCTAAGGGGCCCCATTCTCCCACTGACACCTTACTGATGCAGTTTCAGGGTATTAATTGTGATGGATCATTCAATGGACCAGCATGTATGTGTTATCTGTTAGCTGTCATACCTAAATAGTTCTGGCATTGAAGAAATATGATATCTTTCTTGTATAACAAACTTGAAAAACATATGAAAGCATACAAGTCTAGCAATCTTATCAAAGATACTGGTATCATTGAATGGTTAAAATTATTGAAAACTTTTCTATCAACTCTCATTCTATGCAATTTCAAGTGATGTCATTTGATTAAGATTTGAAACAATATGAAAAAATTTCAATATGGAAAACATTAACTACTACCAGAGGTCCACTGAAATATTGTGTATTGCAATATGTTTGACATACCAGTAAATTTCAAAACTTCTGAAACCAATTTCTTGTGACTTGTGCCATATTTATATCACACTGACATTCTTTTCCAGACACTGACTACAATTTATGACCCTGTTTCACAAATTCATCCAAACACCGAGTAGCTGTAAGGAAAGCCTGGACAGTTCCTTTAGGTACCACATGATCACATTCCCACTGACATTGAGAAAGGAACCACAGGCCAACACAGACTGCTTATTTTCTGTTCTAAGACCTGTTTTTTAATTAAAAAATGTATAAAATTAAGATTATCAGCTTTCCTGCAGTTCTGGATCAATTTTGCAGCTAATCTGGAGAGCATGTAGAAATTGTCTAGAAAACTATTATCTATACTTTAAGTTCTGAAGATGTAAACTTTTATTTCCACTAACAGGTCAACATGACATTGCCTTCAAACATATACAGGGTAGGATATTTTTTTTTTCAAACTTAAGAGTATTCAGACAAAAAGAAAGTGAAAATGTTTTCTTGATTAACTGATTGATTAATGATTCACCTATTCATAACAATGATATGACGTCACGCCAACAATGCATCAACATCACTGACGTCAACCCTGAATTTAGCCTGAAATGATAACATTAAAAGAAAGAAAAAGAATCATTCACCCCTTGAGGGTGTGATAGGGGAATCTCAACCCCCAAGGGGGTGGAGATTCTGTTAGTCTTTTTAATTGAGTGGTGGTACTTAACATCCTTGTTCTGGTATAACAAAGCCTTAGACAAATCATGTCTTCTCTTTTGAATGGTGGTTCTTAACAAAACATGTCCATACACTGAAATATCTACAAACCATGTCTTCTCAAATCTGGTCAATCCTATTTCCTGCATACAATGCAAACAAAAATTGTGTTTATAAATACAAAGCCTAACAGATGAGCCAGGCCAACCAATTGTTCTTTTATTCTGTTTCCTGTTTAAAAACATTTGTCATTAACATACAGGATATCAATAGGAAGTTGCCAAAAATACATTTGCACACCCCTGAGGTGATTCATGTGAAATTGGCCACAATACCTCATGAGGGAAACGTTACAAGGGGTAGTGAAGTAATGAAATCCTCTGTCCCTCATACCATCAGAGGTAGGTGACACCACGGGCTCGATAAAGCTCCCCTCATCTTAGCCAGCTAAACCTTGGCCACAAATGCTACTATCTCTTTCACACATATTGATTTCCTTGATTTTGTTTTGTCATTTAGAAAGTAG